ACCCGGATGCTGCTCAGTTGTTCCTTGCCGTGTTTCCTGAACTGCACGATGATTCTGTTGACTGTTGAAAGCGGGATTTCCAAATTCTGCAAAATTTGACGCTGACTTATTCCACCATCTGCTTGACCAACTATCCTTCCTCTAACAAAATCTGACAATTTGAGAGAACCTTGAGTTTCTAGGCATGTTGTAGCACAAGATAATTAGTGTGCAGACCATTTTCATTTATATAATGCTCTATGAACACAAATTAGCATAAATCAGTTAAATGACGAAAAATTAGGTGTCTATTTACTTGTGACCACTCAGTGTATATTTCTGAATATCCATCGTTAATGGAACTGTCCAACCAGGACAAAATCTTTGTTATAACTTGTTTCACATGCTTGAAAAGTAAAATACCTTGTTTAATGTTATAAGTTATAAAGATAAATGGTGAAAATATGTCCATGAATATTGCTCTAGGGTGTGGGTGATAGTGGGTTAGATGTCTTGGATTTTATTCCTAAGATCAAGAAATTATAAATTCAGGTTATACAATGTTAGAGTGTAGAATATAACTTGAAGAAAATCACAAATGTAAAATTTAAATAAAGATTCTTGTATCCTCTAAAATCATTTTTAATATTTTTAAATGTTAGGTTACTAAAATATCATTATTAAGCTTAAACTGGAACCCACAGCTATCAAAATCTTATCAAACTGAAATTAGAAATTTGTCAATGAAACAACTAATTTAAACAAACAAGCTTGACAGTCAGTAATGAAAAACTTAATTTTTGTTAAATGTTTAAGTTTTATATAAGCTGTATGTAATTGTTAAATATAAAATTTATGCATTTTATAAATTTCAATTATATCTTGCAACTTAAACAGTGAAGTTGTTATACAGATTGCTAAAAGCAGAATACTGATACAATCTCAACTGTTTATGTTTAATGTTGAATTTCCTTTGCACATTTTTTATCTTTTACTTTCATCTATTGGCCCAATGTTCTCCTTAATTACATAGGTAAATGTATTTTTTTATTTCTTGCCATCTGTACTGTTTTACCCAATTGTTGATAAACACAAAGCTCTTACTTGGATCTATCTTAATCACTTAAGGAAGTTGTGAGTTTTAATCTTCCAACTCACTTCTCACTTTTATTATTCCCAATTTGAAATATGTTTGTATCTAATGTGCTGGTATACGGGTGTATGTATTCATATATTCACACACATCCATGCTTCATAATTTACTTGTTTTTCTTTGCTCTTAAATCAACTAACAATTTTTAGGGAACTATATTTTAACTATTAAAACATTTATATTTACTTTTGTAAGCATCAAATAAAATATATGTTACTGATGTTTATCATGGGACAAAATGATTCTAAAAATTATTTAACTTTTTATTTATTTTTTTCACACATCTGGCATCTTATACAGAACTGTAAAAATTACCTGTGTTATGAACTAGTTAATATGACACCTTATTAAAAAAGTAGTAACATCACAGTTTTTGGCTCATAAAACACACACTTTCTACTAACAAGAAACAAGTATGAATGTTCTGAACTTAAGATATATTTACAATTTTGCTTATAAATTTTTATAGATACAAACTACTATAAGCTATAAAAGCTTGTGAATGAAAGAAGAGTGAAATTCCTTATAATACACTCACTGAGTTTAAACAATTTTAAAACTGAGTATTACAGTACTCTTCAACTTGAGGTATATATGCATAAAATACAATCACAATAATTAAATATACAGCATATCCTTTTTTAACATATTTTTCATTCTAAGAGATGCAGAATCCAAAATCCAAGTCTGACAATTTGGTACTCTGTTAAGTCTAAGTCCATGCACTTGAAAAGAAGAAAAAGATGCATTTCACATCATAGTTACAAATATTAGTTGTAAAAAATAATAAGCAAAGTTTTGTTGGATTTTGAAATGAAGATGCAAAATTTATATCAGTTATTTCTGTGGAATTTTATCATTTACATACACAATATACATT